GTTGCATCAGCAAGTAGGATTAGACTAAAATGACTTATACAACATTAAGTCCTTTTTGAAAGTTAGGATGTACCTAAGATAAAAGTAATCCAGTGATGGATTCTATAAAGTAGAAGTTTCAGGAGTTCTACATCACTGCAAATCTTTAAGGGGAACCATGGATAATCATCTTCTAGGGACGCATTCCTTCCAACTGTATGGTTCTAGTTTATAAGCAAAATGTATAATTGAGATTTAGAAGGCCAGTCTCTGATATTCACTATTTAAAAGATTTAGTATCTCTGTGTGGGAAAGATTCATTTAAATCATAGGCATACTAGAATCATGTAGGTGGGATCCTACCAGTTTAACAACCAGTTCAGTGATCGTGCAGGCACAGTTTTGAGGAAAAGTACCTTCCACATTAGTGCTGGGGAAGAAAACAGCTGAGATGCGGCAATCCGCTTTGCCATTCGACTCAGCTGAGAAGATATAGATGAGTTAAATGCAGGGGCAGGAAGGTAGACGCACTTCATCATCCGAGTGAACCGGTTCACTCCCAGCAGATGGTTGGAGCTACCAGTTCGCCCAAACCAGTAGAATCAGTGGTGGGATTCAGCCAGTTCGCACCACTTTGGGAGAAGCAGTTGTTAACTTTCTGTTAACAACTGTTAGCAGTTTGGTGAACTGGTTGTTGGAAGAAATCATTAGGGCAGAGAACCGGTTGTTAAATTATTTGAATCCTACCACTGGGTAGAATCCCACCCCTGCCTACGGCACTACTAGATACACCTATAACTTCATTTTGAAGATGCTTCACTACTGATCCTGTAGGTGTGTCTTACCATCAGCAAAAAGTGGCAACTGAGAGGGACTTTGATATGGTCTACAACAAACTGTTAAGAGCACCATCATTTATATCCTTGTTAATAAAGCAGAATAGAGACTGGTTGTGGGAACAGAGCAAAATGATCTTGGCATAGTTTGAACTGGTATACAGACTAGAGCATAGCATGTTGAACTACCTGTCTGGATATGTCCTAGATCTTTACAAAACAATTTTCCTCTCTCATGGCTGTTTAACATAGGAACTCCAACAATACATGCGCTCTACATGGGGCAGCCCTTGAAGAGTATTCGGAGACTNTTTGGGTTTTACCGATTAGATAGATTTGTTGCTATAGAAATGGCTAGTTTAAACTATTATGTAAAAGTAAAAAGTTGAGGTTTGATGTTAATGCCTTATTCCACTGCATCAAAGGAAGTAGGAAGTCAATGCTTCCCCCCCCACTTTCCCTCCCTTCTTCTCCATACCTTCTCTTCCGCTTGTCTTCTTTTTGTTTTTCTATTTTGTTTTTGGTATATTATAACAAAAATTAATAAAATTGTTATAAACATCCCCCCAAAAATCTGGAACGGTTGCAGGAATTGGGTATGTCTAATTTCATGAAAAGGACTAGGGGTGGCATGATGGCAGTCTTTCAATATTTGAGGGGCTGCCCCAAAGAAGAGGGAGTTAAGTTATTCTCCAAACCACCCGAAGGCAGGACAATGAGTGGGAACTAATCAAGGAGAGAAGCAACCTAGAATTAAGGAGAAATTTCCTGATAGTTAAAACAATTAATCAGTGGAACAACTTGCCTCCAGAAGTTGTACATTCTCCAACACTGGAAGTTTTCAAGAAGAGATAGGACAATCATTGATCTAAAATGGTGTAGGGCTTCCTGCCTAAGCAAGGGATTGGACTAGAAGACCTCCAAGGTCCCTTCCAACTCTGTTATTCTATTTTCTATTTTTCTAAAAGGTGCTTTTTTCAGTGCCGTTGTTACTTCTGACACTAAATGAATGGTCGTAAGTTGAGAACTACCTGTATCTTTGTCCCTAAATTCCTGGTTCAATTTAGCTTCAAGAAGAGCTGAGACTTGGAGGAAGAAAGCAGATGCATTAAAATATTTTTGATCTTTCTTTCTCTTGTCCACTTTGCTCTTAGCTGCAACTGTCACCCCGGAATCTTTGCTAACCTCCCCCCTACCCCGGTTTCAAGGACCCCCTTCTCTCGAGTCAAGGAACAACAGCCAAGGGGAGTACCCGGTTTCCTTGGGGCAGCCCTTAAAGGTGTTATCCACGTAGGTGTAAATGCATCTGTCGTTGCGACAGTCGACAGATAGCAGAGGCAGATGGTCCCTATCCTGCCTTCTTTTCTATTATTATAGGCTCGGATTGCCTCTGCGTTGGGAGAAACAGGAGGGCAGATGTTAAATATGTTAAAACACACGCCGCGTCCCCTGGAGGTTCAGATCAGGCTGCTCTCTCAATTTGGCCATTTGAGGCATGGCTAAGCAGGGAATATCATTCCGCCTTTCGCAAAGCGCTTTGCGTTCAGTTGCCCTACGACTGAATTCGGAGCCCCAATGCACCAGCAACATTGTATGTATGTATGTATGTATGTATGTATGTATGTATGTATGTATGTATGTATGTATNCAACAATAAACCATCTTTCCAAGCAGCCTCCATGTCTCCAGTGTCTTCTTCCCCACTTGGAGCTGAACCCAAAAGGACATTTCTTTCAACACTATAAAATAATAGCTCAGGGATAATTGTAAGGGAACTACCAGTAATTATATTTCAACTCTGCCCATTAGAACCAGACAATACCTCCATCAGAGTACCTGGCTAGCAGAACCACATAGAAATATACCTATCGCAAAACCACTTTGCAAAGTGGAAATTTAACACATACACAAACATTCCCTTTCGGATTATTTCACCGTCAGTCTTACAGCACTGCAGAAAAAGTCTACCTTTGCAGGAAAAATGTATCCTAAATGGCTAAGGAGAATGCACTGGATCACAGTTAAATCTTTTTTTTAAGTCCCCCTTTGCATTGGATATCCAACAAGGGTTATTATCAAATGCTTCTAGGAGACTTGCAAAGCAGCGCCCAAAAGTTATGATCATTGTCTGCTTGTCCTAGGACTTGATATTCAAACAGATATTCAAACAGAAATTGCCTCCTTTATCATACTTCAGATTTTAGCTGTTGAGTGAGAAAGCAATTCCCTATGTACAAGAGCCTTATAAATGAGACCTGTCAGTTTAATAGACAGATTCAAGGTCCAATCGGGACTATCTTTACCCTGGAATAAACTGCATTGCAACACTAACTTGTATACAGATGTACAAGATTTGTAATGGATCACAGAACGTCATCTACAAACATCCTAAAGGTCTTTCCCAGAGTGCTCCATGTCTTCCTAGCTGACTACAAAACCTGCGATGGATTCCCCTCTCCAACTGCTTTGATGACTAGGAATATTAGTCAAGAGCGTGGAATGGAGCCTTCCAATACATCCAATACTAAAGGGGTTAATTTACACGTCATTTTCAACAGAGCAGGAAACATTTCCTCCGGTCATAGTGCCCTGCAGTTTCTATTTAATTTGGCAAAAGCGTCTTTCATCCCTTCCTCCATAGATATATATCCCTTATACAGATCCTGCCTGGCAAACTCCAGTCGCATCAGCCGCCTTCCCTTTTCTAACTGGGTGGATTGAAAGAAAGAAAAAAGAGGCAAGCAAAAGTCTTGACCTTCTCTTCAAATAGAGCAGTCATTTACATCGCTCCTCTCCTCATTGCTCCCTTTTGGAGATAATTACATTAGCGATTGGGAACACACAGCCCGGGGGAGGAGTAATTATCCCGTTACATTTTAGAAGGTCCTACAAACAGGGGACTTGCGTACGACAGATCACCCTGATAAATCTTCACAAAGAACAGATAAAGGCACTTCAAAAAATAACATGCAATACAAAACTTCTCCCCGCCCTGGAAAATAATTCCTCTAAAGAGTTTCAAGCCATCTCCCAAAATGGGATATTGAGCCACACAAAAAACGGTGCGATCGTGCTCACTATTGTATAACCAGAGAGTAAACCAGTCCCACAACACCGGGCTGATGGCGTTTTGAAAACCTCACCCGCTTATATTCAGTAAGTACGGAGATGTTTATGATATTAGCAACCCACGTCATTTAGAGGTCTTACTCTGCCCCTTGCATTCAAGCCTCTCTTGACCCTTTGTACATTTCAAATATTCGCGCAAGTTGCGTTCCCCGTCATGCCGGCAATACCGATTCACCCACCCAGCCGCCCCTCTCTTCCGCAAAACAGCCACCGCTTCATTCGTTCGTTCCTTCGTGAAAATGTAGTCACCGCCGCCACCTCCTCACCTCGATCAGAGACGCCCCGCCGGCAGCCACGCGTGCCCCATTTCTCCAGTCCAGGACAGCAACTCGGCCCCTCCTTCTGAGAGCTCTATGAGCCCAGAGGAGACAAGAGGGGCTCCGCGAAGGCGACACAGCGCCTCTTAGTGCAACTCCGCCACAGTGACAGCCACGGAGTTCAAGGAGGCTCCTGCCATTTGGTGCCCTCCCAATGTTTGGGATTTCAACTTTTTTTTTAATGCTTTTGTAGATCCAGTTTGTTGTACTGATTAAGGGAACAGGCCAGAGTNGGATACCATAGTCCTCCTCCTGTCCTTCTGCCTCTCCGCTTCCTCCCCTTGATACCCCACTCCCTTCTAGCACTGAAGATGTTACCTAGTTGGGTCAAGAAATGTCTGGAAGAAGACAACCCAGCTCAGAGAGCACCAAGGATACCATAGTCCTCCTCCTGTCCTTCTGCCTCTCCGCTTCCTCCCCTTGATACCCCACTCCCTTCTAGCACTGAAGATGTTACCTAGTTGGGTCAAGAAATGTCTGGATATCCACTCCCTTCTAGCACTGAAGATGTTACCTAGTTGGGTCAAGAAATGTTTGGAAGAAGACAACCCAGTTCAGAGAGAGCACCAAGAAAGCCATATTTCCAACTCAAAAATGGAAGTGCTCCAAATTTGATGGCATTGGGAGTGTTTTGCTGCAACCAGGCCCACCCCCCACCCCCGGCCTTCATAGTCCTAGTTTGGGGGTCCTTCCTCCTACCTCCCCTTCCAAAGTCAACCGAGGTGGTCCCATAGATTACCTGGATGGTCAAAGTTATATTGTCCCTTTAAGGCGTGGGCTTTCTGTTCTGGAGTGAGGACTTTGTAGAATCGATCTTGGCTGAGGATGACGACCTTCCTTTGATGATGGTCCACCTCGTTTTGACCCAGAAGTTCCATGATCTTCTCACAGACGGTTGACTTTGGAGAGAGGGAGGGAGGGTGGAAGGGATGGACAGACAGATCGATCAAGAAGGAAAGTTAGGGAAGCCAAAGGTACAGATCATCTTTGACTTACGAGCAGAATTGGGACCAGGATTTCCGACGCTAAGCCAGGCGGTCGTTAAAGTGAGCCATGTCCTATTTTATGACCTCCTTCCCCCTCCCTTCCTTCCTCACTCCCTTATCTCCTTCCTTCCTCCATCCCTCCCTCTTTATCTCCTTCCTCCCACCCTCCCTCTTTCTTATCTCCTTCCTTCCTCCCTCCCTCCTCCTTCACTCACTCTTTCTTATCTCCTTCCTTCCTTCTTCACTCACTCTCTCTTATTTCCTTCCTCCCTCCCTCCCTCTTTATCTCCTTCCTCCCTCCCTCTTTCTTAACTCCTTCCTTCTGTCCTCCTTCACTCACTCACTCTTTCTTATTTCCTCCCTCCCTCTTTCTTATCTCCTTCCTTCTTCCTTCCTTTCTTCTTTTTCCTAATTCCAGGAGAATCTCCCCCCCCCCAGGAAAAAAAAAGAAAGAAAAGCACCTGATTTTTTATTTTTTAAAACTCTTCCTTTGGGTTTGCATTGTTGCAAGCAGCGGGGGAAGCTGCAAAATTGGGGGGGGGGGATTGTCTTCCTTTATGCATTATTTTTTTGCGGGGGGTGAGCTTGGCTCCCCAGGCCTTTTGCTGAAACCCCCCCATACACGCCCCTCCCATCAGGGGCAATGCATAGAACACCCCCCCCCATTCTTGCTGGCTTGTTGTTGTTGTTATTGTTATTATTATTATTATTATTTACTTTATTCACTAAACAGGAAAGTCAGTCAGCTGAACATTAAAAATGCATCCGAAATACCATTGGCTGGTGCTTATTATCATTATCATTATTTCTTTTTTATTATTATTATTTACTTTATTGACTAAACATCAAACTCAACCAACTGAACATTCAAAAATGCATCACAAATACCATTGGCTGGTGCTTATTATTATTACCATTATTATTATCATTATTATTATTATATTGCAACCGGTTTGTTTTTTTTGCAGCTTTACCTTGCCGCTGGCGGTGCCCCCGCTCACCCCGATCAGGAAGGGCCGCGGGTGAGGCCGCTCCGCTTCCCCGGCCGGGCTGCAGCTTGAAGCGTGGCCGCCCGCGGTGGCCATGAGCCCGGCTGTGCTGAAAAAGCCCAGCGCATCCGACCTCGAAGAGAGGAGGGGGGTGGAAAAACTACGCCTCCCAGCAGGCCCCGCGCGAGACACGAATCCCGCGCTGGCGCGGCTGGAGCGCAGGCTTGCTGGGAAGTGGAGTCCTGCCGAACGAAAGCCGCCCTCCCAGCGCACGCATGACCGACTGTCATTGGGTGGAAGAGGCGGGGCTTGGCAAGAAAGGGGTGGAGCTTCAGCATCACATGTTGCTATGATCTTAATCCCTAATGTTGCTACATATTATCCCCCTTGACTAGATAGATAGATAGATAGATAGATAGATAGATAGATAGATAGATAGATAGATAGATAGATAGATAGATAGATAGATAGATAGATAGATAGATAG